TGCTAACAATTTTTTTCTTATATTCTCAAAAGGCATTCTCATTTTGACATTTGCCAGTGTCTGGTCTCTGAAAGCCATTTGTACCAGGAGTTCCAAAGGAAGGTAGCAGGAACCCCACAACTAGCAAATACAAGATAATCACTTTCTAGTATAATTTCACTCAAATTTCCATTACACTGCTTTAAGCTCCTCAAAATGAATCCTCTCGCCTACCAAGTGCTGCTTCTTTTTTTTTAAAACAAAGCTATTTTAAATCTGAATATTCTTACAGAGGGATGAATAAGCGATCTTTAAAATATCTTTTTTTATTTTGCTCTGCTTTAATTGGAGCACCTATTAACTATTCAGAGAACTGAACATCAAATGTCAAATTAAGTGATTGATAAAATTTTTGTGAAAATATTTGTCAAATATCTGTAGCTTTAGATGTATCTTAAAGACTCATTGGCTTTGAGATTCTATCTCCTTTGTATAAGCATACTGTTTTGGTTGTGTGCATCTATCAAGTACTGCTTTGCTGAATTATCTCTTCTAAGTTTTATTTCAATTTGCTAAGTCTGTTTTCTTTATTATATAACACTAGATAGGTTCTACAACATAACTATTTTGTGTTGGTAGAAAATTCTACCAAGTGGAAGGTTTTTGTCTTAACAGATGGCTGCTGACACAAACAAACAACTTTCTTAGTTTCTTTCTCATTCTCTGTATCCTGGATACCTCCTGCTGCACTGGTTGCAAGGGTGCTGAATCTAGGAACATGATTATTTTAAAAAACTCAGCATATGGGGAAGAACAAATAGAAACATGAGCACAAAGCACTGGTATGACGTATTCTGTAAATACTGCAAATATACAGCCACATTGTAATTTTTTTTGTTTTATTAAACAGACATTTCCTAGAAATATATTAATATTTTATGAGCATAAATTACTTCATTTTGTCCCTAATTATTTCTGGGATCCCCTTAGTATTCCAATGATATGCTGGAGATAAGAATCTGGCTACACATACTTATGGCTGCATATAATAATCTAACATTCTGCACCATTTAATTTCATTTTGAAATAATAAATCTAAGTCTAATTTTGATTATACCACAATATTACGTTAGAGCAGCAACTCATAATTATGGCTCTCCATGTTGCTATTTGAATGTCAGATTCTGCTATTTGAAGCAGAATCAATTTATTTCAGTATAGAATTTTATACAAGCATAAAGGGTCAGCCTTTTTCATATTAATATTTTAATTAATAAACATGGAAAGCTCAAAAATACTTAACTAATTTAGGACTTGTATTTTTCCCTACTCTATAATGAAATGGAAGTGATCACTATTGTTCATAAGGGCATTAGAACAAGAACAATTGATGTGCTGCTATTCACTAGTCCAATTTTTCTTTCTACTGGGGAAATAAAATCAATGCCAACTTCTTCTAAAGAGAAGCTTTCCTTTATTTTTCAACTTATATTTTAAAGGAAAAGTATTTTAAAGGCATATGGAGGGCAGTTTTCAGAATGCAGATACAAGAGACTTGCACAGTAATTTGACTGACTATATCAGCCTTTAACTGCATCACCTTATTCAACAAAAAAAAAAATTAGAAATCTTTAAATGAGCAAGATAAAGTATGTCAATGTTTCAAAATAATCAAATACTACAATGTATAAGACGCGATAAAAAGTTTTTCCCATATATGAAGATACAAACATATGCACTATTTACCTCTCTATATAGATATAAATATGAATGATATATCAACAAGCACACCTTATCATGTTTCACCTTATACTGTAGTTGACTGTCAAAAGCAGTTCCTATAAGGGTCAACTGTTAAAATTTTAATTTTAACACTGTAATTATCGATCTAATTTAAAGTTTTATTTGACCATAAAACAATAACATTGTTCAGCACTGATTTTTCAAAAGCTAGGCTTGCTATCCCTTGAAACATTCAGCCACAAGTTCTACTGATCATCTATCTGGTGTTTAACTGGTTCCTTTGAGAAGGTGTTCACACATATTAAAAAGTATATTTTTTTTCCTTGTCTTTTTGTTGGCAAGTTGTTCCAAGATACAATTTCCTAACCTGTCTCCTTAGAGTTACATTATGCCATCCCTTCTAAAACACCTTTGGTGCATCTGACAGTTGTAAATGTCATTGCCCACTTGCAGCTAAAATTTAAAACTACACTGTGAAAAAAACTGAAAGGCCAAGGACCCATTTAACTACTGCATTTGCTCTCATCCTTTACTTACATATTCTGTGCTTTAACAAATTTGTTGTTATATCAAGATTTTTGCATGCTTTTCAGACTCAAATGTTAGATAAGTACAGACCTAGAAAGAAGAGCTCTCAGAAATCAATGAACGTACGTACTACTGATGACCTCTGCTTAGGGTGCTTTTGCCACTGATCTCCCTCTGTGGAACACGACCACACAACCAGTTATTGCTACTGTTGGAAGGACCATAAATAACTCATTTAGACATACTGAAGTTTCAAATTAGGCCACAGTCCCTGCATAAGAAAAGCTCTGGTAGGTTTGCAGATTCGCACAGATTCAACAAACCTAGGGAGTTTAAAGGAGGCACAAAAATCCAGACTGCCGTCGGGAACGGTCTGACAGGACACTTTAAGGCCCTACATAATCACATGCAACGAACGGAGGATCATGGTTTATAACTCACAGTGTTTTCCCCAGAGATTAGACTGAGTGACAAATTTAAGCATCTGAACACAGCATGATATTTATTACTCATGTTGTGCGAAGTGTTGTGTGTAGAAACACTGAGGAACACTGTCAATGCTTATTTTCCTTTCCCCTCCCTAAACCACATCTCCTAATACCACCAGTGCATTCTAAAACAATATACTAGGGAAAGAAACAAAAAGAGAAAAAAATAGCAGCAAAGAGGCCTAGAGTACACTAAGTTTGAAAACAAACTGGCAAGTGGCAGAGTCTAAAGAGTTATTTCCCTATGCTGGTATTCTCGGGTCATCAAGAGAGCTTTTCTGCAAATATTTGAAAGTATATTAAAGACACATACGTAAATCTGGTTCCCTTATAAAAGCATTCTTCTGGTGTGCAAGTACAGCTATTGTTTCCAGAGTACAAAAACAAAAACACATCTGCAAACATCTATGACGTACTGCTCGGCTTCATTCATGAGTACTTTCATTAAAATCAATGGGACTTCTCACCCTCTGTTTGTATGAACTACAACATGCAAAAGTCTGAGGCTATGACAACAGATTTCAGGTAACAGGGCTAAAAATCTTGCAGTGTAAACCGCACACTTCATATGCTGTTCCAAGTCTAAAAATTTAGAGAATTTACCTCCAATAATCAGTATTATATTAAGATTTTTAAAAAATCCACAAGAAGTCTAAAGAAAAAAGAACTTATTAATAAGAACCTGAATTTGAAAAGGTGATTTCTAGAAGATTTACTGGAATGGTAATTTACTTTTCCATGAAAAAAAATTTAAAAATTAAATAAATAAAAAAAAAAAGATGGCACTGCAAATTCAGCTGTTCTTCTGCGTGTAATTTATTAGCTAAAACAAATAAAATAAAAAGTGTATTGCATAGTGAAAGTGAAAATAAAATCCTGATCTCTTTCATACTTTGATTTTGGTACTGTTTTCCTTTTTTTTTTTTAATCCACAAACACACATCTCAGCTGACTTTGAACATCAGAACTTTCCACACCAGAAAACAATTTTCATACAGCTACAAATATGCATAAACAAGGAGACAGAAAGGTGCAAAACCCATTGTACTTTTCGTTTTCTGAATGAAATGAGTCTTACCAAACCTGTTAGATTTTTCCAAGTTGAAGAGCAACTCTACAGAAGTTGCAGGTGGCACTTCCACTGACGCCAACGACATTATAGCAGCAAAGGATGAATTAAAGAGTATCAGGCTTATTTGGCGTGCACAGCATGAAGTGACAGAAGTACAAAAACTGTAACTGAGGGCTCCAGTGAGGTCCAGTCCTCAGTGACCTTACTGAACCCTGACTTCTTGACCGTTCCCGACTTCGGCAGAAGGGCGGATCGCCCCGTTCCCTCCGCACGCCTACCGAGAGCTCAGCCCCGGAACATTTGCTTTGTCGTGGTGAAAGGTGTGAGAGGCAGGTCTGTGTAACTTCACTACACACCTCGAGCTTTGAGCAGTATGCTTTAAACTATCCCGTATTTCGGTAAAAACAGTAGTTATTACATGAGGGTGGACCCAAGTTTCATTGATTTTACGCAAGCTGCGTACCCACTCCATTACCCTCAGTCTCCTGTTTACCAGCTGAGCGCACAAAGCCACCCCTGCCCGCACAGCAGCACCGCTCAAGGGCTCTGTTATTAAGTTCTTGCCGTTTCCCCACGGCCACGGTGCGAAGACAGCGAGGCGGCGGGGCTCGCCTGCCTCTGGCCGCCCGCCATCGCTAAACCGCGGGCGGGGAGCAAGGAAAAGCCGTCTGCAGGCGGCCGTAATACGGATTCTACCCAGCTTGGCCCCCGGGAGCAAAGGCGCCGAGCCTGGGCAAGCACAGCCCTCACCAACCGGAGCCGGCAGCCGGGGCCGGGCTGGCTCCTCACGCGCAGCGGGGCGCGGGCGGGCGCCAAGCACCTGTTGGCGCTTCCCCTTGGCCGCAGCCGGGCCTCGGGGGCGGATAGGGAACGGCGCACCGCCTCGGGCTAGGGAGGGGGAGCAGACGCGGGTGCGGGCGCGGGGTGGAAGGAGGGCCGTTCCGCGGCGGCGCCCACGCGCCGCCCCCCCCTGCCGCCACCATTCCTGCCCGCTCCGTCCCCCGGCCGCGGGCCAGCAGCGCGGCGCCCCCGCCGGGCGCCAAACCTCCGTCCCCCGTAGGTCTCTACGCCGTATCCGTCCTGCAGCCCGTTGCTTCCGGTGCCCCAGTATTCGGCCGGCGTGCTGAGGCTCTGCCGCACCCCGTAGCGCCCCTTGAAGCCGTGAGACCACTCGCCGCGGTACATCCACCTGCCCTTCGTCTCCACGCCCAGACCGTGGCGCTTGCCTTGCGCCCAGTAGCCCAGGTAGTGTTGCGCTGGGCCAGGTGTAGCCCGCCCGCCACCTCGAAAGCCGTGGGACGCAGAGCCGGCCGTACTGCCCTGCCCCCTTGGGCCCGGTGCAGATGCCGTGCCCCGTGGGCTTGTCCCCGTTCCTCCCAGCCGCCGCAATAAGGTGCCGCCAATCGCGCGAAGTGAACCGGCCGCCCGTCATCCAGGGCAGCGGGGCGAGCGCGGCGCCGGCCGCGCCTCCTGCCCGCCTTCCCTCGTTCCTGCTCCGCCTGCCCTCCCCTGCGCTGCCTTCCCCTCGCCGCCCGCCGCAGCTCCGGGCGCTCCCGCGACTGCGAGGCGTCTCCCGGCCGGCCGCCGCGCCCAGCCCCAGCCTGCAGCTCGCGGCGGCGAGCGGCGCCGCACGCCCCCCGCTCCTCCCCGCCCGCCCCTCCCGGCCCGCCGGTTCCGCCCCGGTGGTGCCCGCCGCGCAGACGCGGGGCAGGTGCGGCCCTGGGGCGGGCCGGGGGCTACGCTGGCTGCCTGCCGCCCGAGATGGGCTCTTCCCCGGGTAGCGACCCAGGCAAAGGCGGCTGCCACCGGGGGGAGGTCTCCGTGTGGCCCTTCGTTCTCCGGAAAAGGTGCCCCCGGTGGTCGGGGCCGCGCGTGTCCGGGGCGGGGCGAGCCCGGAGCCGCAAACCGCGCCGGGCCCCCCCGCCGGTGCCTCGGGGGCAGCGGCGACTCCGCCGCTCCCTCGGCTGCTGCTGCCCCTGCCTGCCTGCCCTGCCTGCCCTGCCTCTCCTGCCCTGCCCTGCTCTCCCCTGCTGTCCCTGCCTGCTCTGCCCTGCGCTGCCCTGCCCTGCCCTGCCCTGCCCTGCCCTGCCTCGGCGCTGCCCGCTCCGCGGGTTCCCGAACAGGTTGCAGCTGCACCTGCAACGCAGGCAAAATGAAAGGGCTTTCGAGTGCTACTTGTGAGTCTTCATTTGCCTTTTTTTTTTTTTTTTTTTTTATTTTACTTTTCGCTTTCCCTGAGCTTGAAGACTGGCTTTCAGAGCCGAGTTGTGGTTTGTCCCTTTTCCAAACCACACGTGGAGCTCACCGTGTTCCACGGGTGGAGAAATGAGGGGTAAAAGGAACGTGGATGGTGTCGAGGCTGCTGTGAACTTCATAAGTCACTCTCATTATACTATCAGCCTCACGGCCGACGGGTGACTGAAGGGCGCTAAATCCTGCCAAGCCCTCCTTTGCCAGATATTTGATAATCAGATAGAAATATAAGAGCAAATGACAGGAGAAACATGGAAGAGTAGAAACAGTAGACAGAATAGTGGAGAAGGGATTGAAACCTCTTGTCATAGGACATCTTAGCTTTCTATTCTTTCACAATCCAGGACTGGAAGAAAATCTGAAATAAAATGTTCCTCTTCAATGGGGGTTTTGTTAAAAGCATGAATCATCCTTGTCAGTCATGGAGAGTGGTACTATCTGGACACAGATGATTTGGAAACATGGAGAAATAGCAATAGCTATGTTAGGAGTAATGAGTAAAACCAGAAACATAATTGTAAATGAAGGATTTGAACAAAAGGCATCGGAAGTTGAAACAGTTAAGCTTCAGAAATCTATGCCGAATTCAGCCCAGTTATACGCAGTTTTGACTTAAACCTAAATGAAATTAAAATATTGCACATACTAAACATATCCATTGAAGTTAAAATTTTCAAGCTTTGTCCTTCACAGCACATTGTTCTGTGTACATTTTTATGCCATGCTTACACAGTTCAGTGCCAAAGTATCTCATTCTAGGGGAGAGTTGAGCACCATAACAACTCTGTTGTCTGTTGTCATAGGAAGAAGTGTGTGCTATAAAGCCTTGTTTCTGTTCCAATAAGAGGATTTCTAATTCTGGTTGAACATGCATAGGTAGAAGACTCTGCACATGTATTTAGACACATATGTACAAAGAAAAAAAGACACCATCAAAGACCTGTGCCTTGTCCATGAGATGATGGGGAAGCTTTCAGTGCCCCTTTTTTCTCCGGGGAATTTTATTCCATAGTTTTGGAGTGTAGAAAACCATACAGGAATGTTGTTTCTGTAGCATAGGCATGCAGTCTTTAACATATCTTTGAACAAGGCTGTATAGCGTTCTGAAGTTGAGTAGTGAGACCTTCACTGCAATTTGAGAGTTTTGGAAAGCCATTATTGAGAACGGAGGGGAAGTCTGAAAACGTTGCAGTGGGTGGGATTGCTGAATAAGATGTGGTACAGCATCCTCTGAGTATTGCTTGACCTCATCAGATTTTATGCCCTATATGTCTTGCATTTCTTACTCAAGAAAAAGATTGGAAGCAATAGTTGTCATGACACGTATGCTTTGAGGAGTTTACTATTTTCACTTTAATAATCTCTTTTCTGATTTTTTTCTTCTGACACAAGATAAAGCCCTGTCACATTCCAACAGAATTTCGGAAGAGTGAGATATTTTATATGGGTGTGGGTAACTACCCTTTGGAAGTCAGCATGCGTAATAACTGATACTGGTAAACAATTAACTAGTTGTTGAGGTCTCCTGTTTATAACTGCGTGTTATTATATGTTATGAGAAGTTTTTATGAAGTACATGAGTTGTCGCGCTTGAACTGGAGCTGTTGAGCATTGGGTTTATCTGTTGGGGGGCTACTATTGCTTTACATGGTGTTTCTGGGTGCTGTGTGCACAACAGAGGTGTAAAGCCACTATTCCCTTACATGACACCCTGTGCATAGCAGGGACACAACCAGCACAGAGGGGAGCAGAGGTGGAGAGTGATGACAGGTTAGCAAGTCCAGACAGTGCTTCTGCAACTTGGCAGTGGAAGAGGTAGCCTCTTGAGGGAGTATGAGATTGTCTTAGCCCCTCTGTGGATCTGAGCTGCTTCTTTGAAGAAGCAGCCATGTTCTGCTGCCTAACGGCCTGGACAATAATCATGGTTGTGCAAGTCCTTTGCCAACCTGAGTATCAGTGAATTACTGGATTTGCTGTCATTTCCACCTCAGTAGTTGTACTAGTGAATAATTGGATTTGCTGTTGTAATGACCTGGGTAATTGCACTCCTGATGCATATGTGTCACTGTAGTGTTACTTGACGATAAATTGTTTATCCCTAAAGCTATTGATCTAATGTCTATTATGGTATCCCAAAACTCTAACTAATTGGGGCTACCTTGAGTCCCTACATCTGTACAGTAGAAGATGTTGTATCTTTGCATAAATGAAATAGGCATCTACCTATTAGTCCTTTGTTTTACCCCCTTGGTTTAAATTTTACAGGTTTTAATATTAGATTAGATGAATCAACAAGATCAGATAGGCCAGAGATGAAACAATGAAAATTTTAGGAGGGAATCGTATTATTTTTCTTGTGTTATCACACGTGTGTCAGTGGCTCCTTTTTTAGTGATCTGCAAATGATGCTAAAATCAGTGGTAATTTTGCATGTGGTTTATATTTTCAGGTGTATTCATTAAAATGAAGTAATCAATTTAAATGAACTTGACACTTGATGATGAATTCGTCACTGACAGCCTTTTCTTATTCCCTGCTGAAAATTTAAATTTTGATCCATGTGAGAATAGAAGTGCTTTGCAGAGAACTCTTAGCATCAGTCAGCCAGGTCTTGATGATGTAAGACATCATAGGTGTCTCATTGCTGATAAGGTTGTAGATTTATTATCTGAGGTTTTTTGGTGTTTTTTTTTCTGACAGATTTTGCATTGACAAGCCTCAACTTTAGTTCATGCCAATATGTGTTTCCTTCTGGCTGCGGTGTAAGTATCGTTCATATGCAATCTTTAGCATGTATGTGTTAAATACCTTAGATCCACTGATTTTGTTTCCTTTCCTTCTGCCTAGAATTAAGTTAAAAATTATTCTACAACTCCATAGATACAGGAAGTAAGCAGTTATAGGTCTATGAATGAGTTTATCTCTTTCGTCCAAAATAAATAGAATTGCTTCCGCTATTTTTTTAATCTACATTATAAGAGTTCTTTTCTGAAGTCTCTCATACATGTAACACTCAGAATATATGAGGACCAGGTGCAGATTATTTATCATTTACAAAGAAGTCATCACAGCACTAGGTCTGATAACACTGTATATATATGAAACACGAGTGCATGGTGACAGTATGTATGCAAAAACTGTGCTGAGGGGTTTTATGTAAAAAGGTCCTTGGTATAGGGATGGTAGATGCAGCAGGTGAAGACACACTAACTCCAGAGATTTAACATTAACTGGATACAAAACTGCTGAGTTTAAACTATTAGTCTATAGATATCTGATGCATGAATAAAAATTAGGCACATTTATTCTTACCCATAAAAGCCTGATTCAGCAGGGAATTACTTTAAGTACTTCAGTAATCCCATTTACTTCAGTGAGACTACACACGAGCTTTAAATTAAACATCTGCAAGATATCTCTGCTCAAATAAAGCAAGCTCTGAAGAATGTTCTCAAGTACTCTGCAGAATGGAGGCAGGATGCTTAACTGATGAGCTCCATGAGCTGCACACATTGTGTTGGAGGAGTTCATAAACAGGACTTCTGCGTGGGAGGCAGAAATAGAGAAGTAAAGGTGGTATAGAAGCCACAGTGTAGGAATTTCAAAGGCAAATAGGTCTTTCCTGGCTCCATATGAGCAGCCACAACTTTTATGCCTATTTTTATGTCTGGATTCTAAATTAAAGTTTATAAATATAGTTCTGTATAACTTTAACACAGATAATGTTGTGTGACTTCCAGAACAGGAACATAACACTTTTTCCTGATATACTGTAAATCCACATAAGGTAGTGTAAATATGGAAATAATAATTCTACGGGATTTTTTTCTTTTGCAAAAAATTTACTTAAATATTTGAGATATGTTGTGCTATGAATCTACTCTCCTAGATGCATCAGTAAGTGTCAGTTCTACCTTACAATTGAAGCTGGGAACTAGCCAGTAAGACAGTATATTTAATTCCAGAGATATTATGCTTACTCAGTGAATACA